TTGTTCTGATCCCCAAGGCTGAGGAAATGGCCTCACCCTCCAAGTGCCAGCTCTGTCCTCTGAGGGGTGACTGTCAGGAGCTCCCCCAGGCAGCCATGCTGACTCCTCCCCAGGAATCTGAGATGGATGTCCCTGACGTGGATACCCGTGGGCCTGGTATGTAAGACAACCCAGATCAAGAAAAGGAAAACTCCCTTTGACTCTTCTAGAATCAGAAAGCCTTTTGATATTCGAGCTGAAGAAACTAACCTTAGAGTTAGTGCCTTAGAATTGTGGTTCTCAAAGTGTGGTCCCCAGACAGAAGAATCAGTTTCACCAGGGAAATTGTTAGAAATACAAATTCTCAGGCTCCACTCCAGAGCTATTGACTCAGAAATTCAAGATATTGGGAAATCTGTGTTTTAACCAGCCCTCCAGGTAAGTTTGATCCAGACTCAAGTTTGAGAACCACTGCCCTAGAATGTTAAAGAATTATGCCTACTGGCTCCTTTTACAGATGAGGAAGCTGAAGCACAGAGAAAAGTAGAAAAGTCATTTGACTAAAGCCACATAAAATCAAGAGCCAGAGCTGGGCTTCCTGACACTTGAGGCTATGATTCTCCATTAACCTCCAAGTTCTCCTCCTACCCCAGTTACGTCCTTTTGATTGACTTGTCTCCCATCCCTCATATCTCTCACCCACAGATGGGGTGACAGCCCTGATGTCAGCAGTTTGCTGTGGGGGAGTGGAGTCCAGGACCTTCCAGGGGTCATGGTTGGGAAGCCCTGAACCCTGGGAACCTCTGTTGGGTGGAGGGGCCTGTCCCCAGGCTCACACTGTGGGTACTGGGGAGACACCCCTGCACCTGGCTGCCCGATTCTCCCGGCCAACCGCTGCCCGCCGTCTCCTTGAGGCTGGAGCCAACCCCAACCAGCCAGACCGAGCAGGGCGCACCCCTCTTCACACCGCTGTGGCTGCTGACGCTCGGGAGGTTTGCCAGGTCAGTGCACACTGGGATCGCTAAAGGGAACAGGGGGCAAACTCATAAGTAAACCTGGGCAAAAGCATCCCCTAGGGTTTGGCAGAGAGGAAGGTGATATGAGATTGGGGATCTGAAAGGAAAAACAACAGATAACTGAATATGGGTTTGGGGGTGGTTAAGAGTGTGAGGGACCTGAGCTAGCAGTCCAGAACATACCAGGGATCACTGCCCCTCTTTGGCCCCCCAGCTCCTGCTCCGCAGCAGACAGACTGCAGTGGATGCACGGACAGAGGACGGGACCACAGCCCTGATGCTGGCCGCTAGGCTGGCGGTGGAGGACCTGGTTGAAGAACTGATTGCAGCCCAAGCAGATGTGGGGGCCAGAGATAAATGGGGTATGAATCCGGAGAGGTTGGAGTTGTCCTATGGAGAAGTTGCACAGATGGGGTGTGAGTAAGAGGCAAAAAAAAAAAAAAAAAAGGAAGCAGCTGAAGGACCAACTGGAGGCTGGGGGATTCCATCCCACCTAGCTGTCAGGGTGGTAAACCTGCGGTGTGGTGTCCGTATAAAACGTCGTCTTCCCCTTTCATCCTGAACAACATACACACACTGCCCTAATCCACTGGAAAATAGGCTGGGGAAGAAGTGTCTGCGAGAAGGGGGAAGGGTCTCGTGGGGGGAGGTCTCCCGGTCCCACCGTGCCCAGAACAATACCCCATTGTCCCTCCCGCGCGCCGGTGACGTTACTAGAAGCAAGGCTTCCGGCCAACCGGCGGTCACCCAGGCAACGCTTCCGCCTTTGAAGTAACCCAGCCAGCCCGAATAAGTCCTTCCCTCTAAACCAGAATCCGTGGGAAACAGGAACCCAGGCGTCTGGTCTCCAGCCTCTGGGTAACAACCTCCCATGTCGTCCCCTAGGAAAAACCGCGCTGCACTGGGCCGCCGCCGTGAACAACGCCCGGGCCGCCCGCTCCCTTCTCCAGGCCGGAGCCGATAAAGATGCCCAGGACGGCAGGGTTAGACCGAGAGTGGGCTCCCTACAAAAAAAAAAGAAAAAGAAAAGAAAAGAAAGAAAAAGGAAGAGACAGGAAAGAAAGAAAGAAAGAAAGAAAGAGAGAAAGAAAAACAAAGAAAAGAAAGAGAGAAAGAAAGAAAGAAAGAAAGAAAGAGAGAAAGAAAGAAAGAAAGAAAGAAAGAAAGAAAGAAAGAAAGAAAGAAAGAAAGAAAGAAAGAAAGAAAGAAAGAAAGAGAAAAGAAAACGAGCGTGGGAGAGGCAGAAAGAGCGGGAATGCCACGCAACCTGAATGGGGAGGGGCCAATCGTCAAGAGAGTGGAGTCCGGAAGGGCCAGCCCTGTGGGCGTGGCCCTCCCTGATCTCGCCCTCTGGCTGTTTCTTCCGGTACAGGAGCAGACGCCGCTGTTCCTGGCGGCCCGAGAAGGGGCGGTGGAAGTAGCTCAACTGCTGCTGGGACTAGGAGCGGCCCGAGGACTGCAGGACCACGCCGGGCTAGCGCCCGGAGACATCGCTCGCCAGCGTAACCACTGGGATCTGCTGACGCTACTGGAGGGGGCGGGGTCACTGGAAGTGCGTCACAAAGCCACGCCCGGCCGCGGGGCGGAAGCCTTCCCGCGCTCGCGTACCGCGTCGGGAAGCTTGCCCCCGCGTCGGGGCGGGGCTCTGCCGCGCAACCGGACGCTGTCAGCTGGGGCTGGTCCACGTGGGGGCGGAGCATGTCTGCAAACCCAGACTTTGTCATTAGAATGGGCCGCGCGTGTGGGTGGAGCCTATTCGCATTGCCAGAGCCCATCGAAAGGAGCAGGAGGCGGCCTGTCCCCCGGAGGCCGTAGGTTTTCTCCAGGCATGCGCGGGCCTCGGCCCGACGCTGCTGTAGTGCCAGGAAGATCCGGGGCCGCTTCCGGGGGCGGGGGTGGGGCCTCAGCCGACGATTGGCCCTGCGATTGGGTGACCCTGAGAGCCTGCGGCTCCAACACTCCAATCCCGCCTCCTTGCCTTACGCCGTCCCCGGAGCGGGGATCCCCTCAAGTCGCCTGGGATCCTCCAACCCACCAAGTAACAACTTTAAACGCGGGAGGCGAGGGTCAAAAATAGGACGCTACATGACAGGGATTCTAAAAATGAGCACCCATTATAGGACAGCCTGGAAACACTCCAGATTTTAAGATCCTGGATCCCCAAAAGTGAGGAGTCAAGAGTATTGTGTCCCTCCCAAAGTGACTATGCCCACTCCTCCTCGTCTTACACGTGGAGAACTGCAGCCCTGAATGAAGAGGGCCCAGCCCTTCTCCCAGAAAATAAGGGTGAGGAGCTACAGAAGGGTGGAGTGGAACCAATTACTACAAACGTAAAAGATGTAAGTTCTTTCCTGTATACGGTATCCAAAGGAAACCTCTGTCATCCACAAATAGCTGACAAATATTTACAAAGTACCTACTACGTGCCAGGCACTGTGTAGGTGCTGAAGTGTGTGAGCCAAGGGCCACTCCAGCTGATGACTCCTTGCACTTTACCCACTTCCCTCCTCAACAAACCATCCCAGGGATGAAGCGTCATTCTTCTCGCCACCACTATCTATTTAAGAACCTCAAATCTGTCATCCCATAATAAAGCTTATTTGAAGTGTTAACCTTTTTTTGGAAGAGTTGAGTGGAATGGGAAACCATTAGGGGCCACCTGGGTGGTTCAGTTGGTTAAGCGTCTGACTTGATCACAGGGTCATGAGTTCAGAGCCCTGCGCTGGGTGTGAAGCCTACGTAGGAAAAAAAAAAAAGTCATCTCTTTGGATGGAGGCTTTGAGTAGAGTTCAAGAGCGAGAATAAGATTTGCGGGATACTGTTGTTATTTTAGAGTATCACCTGAAAGTAAGAGTCTCTAGTAGCCCAGGGAGAAACCACACATAACTATGTATAGTTATCCTCTTCAAAGGGCATTTAGTTATGAGCACTTAGGAGATTCCTAAGGCCTCAAGTTAAGGCAGATGGAGAGAGCATCTCAAATATACACCTTTCAGAAACACGGTTACACGTCTTTAATGGTGATGGGCCTGAGACATGGAGGCATGAGGCATTTTGAAAGCTAATAGTAACTACCATTTATTGAGCATTCACTATATGCCAAATTATCGCACTTAATCCTCACATCAATTCTATAAGGTAAGCGCTATTAAAGCTCCATTTTACTCTTTGAGAAACTGAGGCACAGAGATTTTATTTGCCCAAGATTGCAAGGCATTAAGTGGTAGAACTAGATCTCTTGATCACTAGAGTTGACTTCATGCTCCAAGTCACTCACCTGTAAACTTCATAATATGGCAGGTTGGCATTTAGAGGTTCCAAATATCTCTATCCTGTTCCCACCCTGGTGCCAGCGCACCTGACCAGTATTGAGACCAAGCCAGGGAGAAGGTCATCTCCCTTTTCCATTTCTATACCCTTCATTCATAACCAGAGGAAAGTTTCCCCTGCCCCTTGTCTCATATTTGGTACATATCTTGTCCCCTGAATAGACTATAAGCACCTAGAGGGCAGGGATAACTATCCAACACATATTTATTGAATACTTACTGTGTGTTGGAGCCACTGCTAGGGGTATATGTACATGTTTGAGGGCCCAACATCCCTGGGTCTGAGTACTTTGCTTCCCACTGGAACCATGCCCCTCCCAGTCCCCATAAGTCTGTGGGAAGCTGGGACACAGAAGAAGGACAAAGCCTACATCAGGGTCCTCTTAGGAAGGGGACCTGGGGGAGTGGGCGGGGGGGGGGTTCTGAGGAGTAAAACCACTTCCTGTGTAGCTAGTTCCTGTGTTGACAGAAAGAGCTGAAGGGGAGGAGGGGAGTGGAAAGAACAGAGCCTAGGGTTGAGGGACTACTGAACCTCTGGAGATGTGAAGGCCAAGAGTCATTCTCTATGATAAACCCCTCCACTACTGCAGCTGGAGACGCTTTTCCCAGTCTCTGTGCTCCCCTGGGGCGAGAGAGGTCGAGCAAGTAGTTTGGGTGGGAAAAGAGAACTGGAGGAAGTTGACAGGGATGGGCGGGGCCCGTGGGGGGGCTGACCAGGAACCCAGCTTCCTGCTCAGTACCCAGGCATCCAGCCCCTGGCTCACCCCCACCCCTTCCAGCCCCCACTCCCCTCAGGAACCTAGGGTTCCAGCCCTCCTCCCAAATCCCAGCTACCCCACCCCCATCAATTTCTCCCCTCCAGGGGATGGAGGCCGAGAGACCCCAGGAAGAAGAGAATGGTGACCAGGTGAGCTGCGCACTGGGCTGGAGAGGCTGACACTGGGAGAGAGGGAGGTAAGAGGATGTGGGGCAGGGACGCAGTGAAAGGGGACTCGGGGGACTTGGAAGGGCTTGGGCAAACTGAGGTAGGAACAGAGACACAGAAAGAGGAAATGGGCTGTCAGCCTAGCCCCCTGCCCACCACACCCCCACTTGATTGGACCGGATGTCTCCCAGCATCAGGGCCCCCATCAGGATGAGCATGGCTGGCCCCCTGTGAACACCACCACTCGGCCTTGGCGATCTGCTCCTCCGTCCCCTCCTCCTCCAGGGACCCACCACACAGGTACCCTCACTCGCCCAGGGAGCTCCCTCACCTTGGTGCCCACATCCTTCCTGATCCCATTACCAAGGCCCTCTCCCCACCTCCTCCTGATTCCTCATTGCACCCCCTCAGCTCTCACTCCAAGTCATCTAGCACCACCACCCCTCCTGTCTGCCACCTTCTCTGGGTCTCTGAGCCCTACCCCTCCTCTCCCCAGCCCTGGGGCCCCGCTCGGCCTCTCTGCTCTCCCTGCAGACTGAGCTCCTTCTGGATTTGGTGGCTGAGGCCCAGTCCCGCCGCCTAGAGGAGCAAAGAGCCACCTTCCACATCCCCCAGAACCCCCCAAGCATAGCCCCAGCCCCACTTCGGCCTCTTGAGGACAGAGAACAGCTCTACAGCACTATCCTCAGTCACCAGGTGAGACACCTCCCCAGAAGGCAAGACCCAGGCTTTCTGGTCTCTTAGCCTTTGTTCTCTTTTGGGCCCTACCCCTCCTCCCCACCATCTACCCCCTGGCCAGGCCCCGGTCCCTCCATCCCCATCACAGGTATCCTACATACCTCTCTCGCCAGCCTTGGCTCCTTGCAAGGCCTGCCCCTCTTAAAATCTCACCAACACTCCCTTCCCTCCACTCCTCTAGTGCCAGCGGATGGAAGCCCAGCGGTCAGAGCCTCCCCTACCCCCAGGGGGACAGGAGCTCCTGGAGTTGCTGCTGAGAGTTCAGGGTGGAGGTCGAATGGAGGAGCAAAGGTCCCGGCCCCCCACACATACCTGCTGAGACGTGAGCCCCTCCACCAGCCCCTCCACACTCCTGGGGCTCAAAGCTGGGCAGCATGCCCTCAACCCCTGCTTGGCAGGGGCACCAGAGACTGGAAGACCCAGGAGAAATCTCAATATCCATCATCCTCATCCACCTTCCCGAGGAACAGAGGAGGTGAAAGTCCTGGGGGTAGGATGGTCATTTAACTCCCTCCCCCAGTACATGGGAGCTTGAAGCAGTGAGAAGATCCCAGCCACTGAGGACCGCGCGCCCCCCCCCGATCCCAAGGAGTGGCTGGAAGTCTTGGTCCTGAGCTGTGGGGATACCCCCAGTAATCTAGCCACTAGGCAGGATCTGAGGGCTCAGGCCTCCATCTCCCAAGAGAAGGCAAATCTCCCAAAGTTAGGGCCTGAGAGACAGTTCCACCCTCCTTCCCAGTAAGAAGAAAGGGAGAGAGGGCATTACAAAAAGGTAAGACCATTCGCCCACCCCACCACCAGCACTCCCACCCCAGGACTGAGGGGCCTACAGGCTGTGAATGGACACTTAGCACTGCCCACCCTCCCTCCCCACTGCTGCTCCGAGTCCGATGTTTTGGTTGTATGAATAAATGTAATTCTCCTCTGGACTGACGAAGACTGGTGTTTGGGGCTGCGAGGCGGTGGGGGGGGGGGGAGATAGGAAGGTGAGGCCAAGAGGCCGCCTCTTTCCCTACTTTGGCGAGAGGCCAGCTCCCCTCCCTGGCTGGTTAATTACTGGCTCATTAAGCAGCGGTTGGAGACCTCCCTAATTATACCCCCCCAGCCCCCCCTCTCCTGGTTTTAATTAAGTAGAACAGGGAGGGGAGTCATTAGGAGAAGAAATATGAACTGAGCTGTCTGCGAACCCAGGGATTCTAGGGGCCGGAGTCCACAACACCTAGATTCCCTAATTCAGAACCCAATTTGCGGCCCCTGAGCCCCAATACGCCTCCCCCCCCACCCCGCCCTTCCGAGGCCACCGAAGTCCAACCCCCTGGCCTAAGCATATCCCCCCCAACAAGGTCTAGTCTCCTCCCCTCGTCCCCTCTTCCCTCTCCCCTCCTCCACTCGATGCTAGTTCCTCTGTTTCTATGTGTCTTTCTCCGCCCCCAGCTCCTCCCTGTTCCTCCTCTCTTCTCCCCTCCTCTTCCTCTCCCGCTCCCCTCCCCCCCGCCTCCCTCCCTCGCTCCCCCCTTCTCCCTCCTCCCTCTCTCTCTCTCTCTCTCTCTCTCTCACACACCCCCGCTTGGGCCTCCTCTCTCTCTCCGGCTCCATTTTCTCCGCCGCCGGGGGCCGGGGTCTCCTGTGGGGGGCCCAGCCGGTACCCCAGGTCTCCCTTCAGGGCCGGGGTGAACCTCCGGGAGAGCCGGGAGGGGGGAGACGGGCGGGGGTTGGGGCGGAGGGAGCAGCGGCCCTACCGAGTTTGTGGGGGGGGGGGGGAAGTAACCAGGCGGGGGGAGGGGCGGAGCAGGGAGGGGGCCTCAGGGCCCCCCCCCCAACTATGGACGAGCGGCTGCTGGGGCCGCCCCCTCCAGGTGGGGGCCGGGGGGGGCCTGGGATTGGTGGGTGGGGAGCCTGGGGGCCCTGGCGAGCCTCCCGGTGGCGGAGACCCCGGTGGGGGTAGCGGGGGGGTCCCGGGAGGCCGAGGGAAGCAAGACATCGGGGACATTCTGCAGCAGATAATGACCATCACCGACCAGAGCCTGGACGAGGCCCAGGCCAAGTGAGTGCCCCCACCCCGCGACCCCACACAGACCCAGCAGAAACCCCATTCACAAGCTCTGAATCTTCTGGGAGTCGCCCCCACCCCCTACTCCAGGATCGGCTCCAGGATCCTAAAGCTCTCTTCTCTCCTTACTCCTGGGAGCTCCAAGATAAGCCCTCCTTCACGAACCTCCCTTCACCCCCAGGCCCTGAAACCTTCAAAGAGGGGAACCCAGGGTGGCCTCACCCCCCCCCCAAACTCCCCACTGACCCCAATACTCCCTGGAACATGTTCCATCTCCAGAGCCCTGTTCTGGCTCTCAGACTAAGAAACTGCTATGCTGTCTTAACTCTCCTCCCAGCCCACCCCCATACTCTCCAGGCCTGGGGACCTCCACAGCCCTTCCCAAAGCTCCTACCGCTCCTCTCCACCATGGCCCAGCCTTCAAGGGTCCTCCCCCACCCTTGGCCCCTGTTCAGCGGGACACTAGGAACATCAGAGCCTCCTGCCTTGTTCAGTCCCAGGACCCTCCACACACATCTATATTCAACTCTTCCAACCCCTCTCTGGCACCTCAAACTCTGACTCTTCTTGCAGTCTGCATCTCTTTTCCTCTGCAGTCTACCTAGTCACCCTCATGTCAGCAGTCACCCCCAAACTCTCCTTCCCTACCCCTGTAGACCCATTTCCCACAGCCCCTGTGCATTCCCACAGTGCCTTTATCTTGCTGCCTGCATCTTCCCTCCATCTTCCTTAAGCCAAGCAGCTTCCCCACATTTCCACACTCAGGGAGCTGATCTCTTCCCAAGAACCCCCCAACTCCATTCTGCCCCCACCCCCACTTTGTACCTCCCTGCTGGTTCAGAGGCTCCCCTCTCACCCTCATGGTCTCCCTCACTCAATCCCTCCTCTGTTTCTATAGCTCCTCAACTCTTCTCTCCCCTTCCTCCCAAGGAAACACGCCCTCAACTGCCACCGCATGAAGCCTGCTCTCTTTAGTGTCCTGTGTGAAATCAAGGAGAAAACCGGTATGTGGGACCCCCTCTGATTTCTCCCTTCTGGGGACAGAATCCTGTTCTTTATAGGACTCAGGCTCAGAGTTTGATAACCTGGGGCCCTGAGAACAGTAGGGGTTAGAGAAGTTGCTAAGGGGAACTAGGGAGGGAACCAAAACCTGGAAACTTGGGTCTCCAGGAAGACACTAGGAGGGCTGAGAGCTGGCTGTGGGTTCCCTGGGTCCCTAAGTTCATTGGCCTGTATGCTAGGCCTTAGCATTCGAAGCTCCCAAGAGGAGGAGCCGGTGGACCCACAGCTGATGCGCCTGGACAACATGCTTCTGGCAGAGGGTGTGGCTGGGCCTGAGAAAGGAGGGGGCTCAGCGGCAGCAGCTGCGGCCGCAGCAGCCTCCGGGGGCGGCGTGTCCCCTGACAACTCCATCGAACACTCGGACTATCGCAGCAAACTTGCTCAGATCCGCCACATCTACCACTCGGAGCTGGAGAAATATGAGCAGGTGAGGAGACAAGGCTGGAGTGGGTGAAAGGAGAGGCTCCTGAGGGGAATCCCAGGGCCAAAGGGCCCCTCCTCACAACCCACTGGCTCCCACTATAGGCGTGTAACGAGTTCACAACCCACGTCATGAACCTGCTGAGGGAACAGAGCCGCACACGGCCTGTGGCACCCAAGGAGATGGAGCGCATGGTGAGCATCATCCATCGGAAGTTCAGCGCCATCCAGATGCAGCTCAAGCAGAGCACCTGTGAGGCTGTCATGATTCTGCGTTCCCGCTTCTTGGATGCCAGGTGGGGCTCAGAGGCCCAGGCCAGCCCCCAACCCTGGTCTCCTTCCCATTCTTCTCCAAGCCCCTGGGCCACCGTGCAACACAACATGGTACCCTATAGCAGTGGCATTCTCCAGAGTTAGGCAAGATGGAGGCCCTGCCCGAACAGCCGGCCTCCTCACCACCTTTCTCCCTCTTCTGTAGACGAAAACGCCGCAACTTCAGCAAACAGGCCACTGAGGTCCTCAATGAGTATTTCTACTCGCATCTGAGTAACCCATATCCTAGTGAAGAGGCTAAGGAGGAGCTTGCCAAGAAGTGCGGAATCACTGTCTCTCAGGTATTGGGGAGGCTTGGGGAGGAGTTTTCAGGTCAAAAGCTCTCTGATTCTACTGACTGAGGGACTTAACATAAAGTTCTCTACCTGACCCTGCTTTCTGCTCAACACCCCACAGGTCTCCAACTGGTTTGGCAACAAGCGGATTCGGTATAAGAAAAATATTGGAAAGTTCCAAGAGGAAGCAAACATCTATGCTGTCAAGACCGCCGTGTCAGTCACCCAGGGGGGCCACAGCCGCACCAGCTCCCCGACACCCCCTTCGTCTGCAGGTGGACCCCACTGCCATCCTGGCTGGCTGTCTTGCACGCTTCCTGCTTTTGTTCCCACTTCCTATCTAGGCAGGATCACAGCTGAGAGGGGGCCTTTGGGGGTGAGAAGGACCTAGCTGAGATGGGATGGAGATGTCAGGGGACAGAGGCCACTCCAGCGAAGTTACTTCTATCTTCCAGCAAGTGGCCAGGGACGGAGGGGGGAGGCTCAGAAACTGCCTGCTCCTTCTGAGTGTTGCAGTGTTGTCTTATGGATAATTTGCGTATAGCGGTGCACCCCCAGAACTAGTTCATAGGGCTTTTTGGAAACCAGAGCTGTGGTGAGAATCCTGTCTGCCGTCAAAGGCTGTGTTATACTCTTCTCTAATCCCTTCTCTACTTTCCCCCCACCAAGGCTCTGGCGGCTCTTTCAATCTCTCAGGATCCGGAGACATGTTTCTGGGGATGCCCGGGCTCAACGGAGATTCCTACTCTGCTTCCCAGGTCAGGTGGCCCATCTCCCCTTGAGTAGGGCTTTCCCAAACTCGGTTTCCCTTTCTTCAAGGTATAAGACTCGTCACTGTGTCATATCCTTCTTTGCTGCTTGCAGGTGGAATCACTCCGACACTCAATGGGGCCAGGGGGCTACGGGGATAACCTTGGGGGAGGCCAGATGTACAGCCCTCGGGAAATGAGGGTGAGTGGATACATGAAGCTCTCTTTGTCCAACTCTCACCAGGACAAGAGGGCCTTTTTGCTGGCAGTGTTGTCCCCACACTAGACTTCCCAGAGCCCTGCCCCAACCGTCTCTCTCTTTTTTCAGGCAAACGGTGGCTGGCAGGAGGCTGTAACCCCATCCTCAGTGACGTCCCCGACAGAGGGACCAGGGAGCGTTCACTCTGACACTTCCAACTGATCTTGCCCCTCAGGGCCACAGGGGTGGGGGCTCACAAGGCGACTCTTGAAGAGGACACAGGCATCCAGAGGACAAACCCCAGACACAGGAGAAGCACAAGACAGAGAAGGGCAAATGGGGTCATCCCTTCCCCAACCAGACTCTCTCAGTGCTGGGGGTGCTGACTACGTGGCAGGGAGAATGGGCTCCCCTAAGGGGAGAGTGGGGTCTGTCTCCCTCTTTTTAACTTTTTTTTCAGCCTTTCTCTTCCTTTCTGTCACAAAACCCAGAATCCTATTGTTCAGATCCCTTTCCCTCTGCTGTCTTTCCATCCCCCTCCACCCCGTACTGTATTCCATTTCTCTCTTTTCTCTGGGTTCCCCCACCCCACTTATCTGCTCTGGGATCTGTGGAGAAGCCAGCCCTGCCCAACCAGAGATGCCAAAACTGGGGACACACCTTCTGGACAGAGGACATGGGCCATGAACCCTGTGCCT